TACAATGTAGCACAAAGAAAGAAAGAGCTCCTATCCTTAAGGACAGCATGGATGGAACTGGAGAGCATTATGCTAAGTGAAATAAGCCAGGTAGTGAAAGAAAAATACCACTTCATCTCACTTATAAATGTAACCTAATCAACAAAACAAAAAAGCAAGCAAAATATAACAAAAGACATTGAAATAAAGAATAAACTGTTAGCAACCAGAGGAGATGGAGGAGGGTATAACAGGGGGAAAAATGGGAAGGGTCATCAAGGCACATGTACAAAGGACACATGGACAAAGAGAAAAGAGGGTACGATCAAGGGTGGGAGGTAGGGATAGGTGGGCGGGGGGATAATTGGGGGGAATAGAGAACTATACCTGAAGAACGATAAAAAATAAAAAGGAAACATTAATATCAACTAAAATTATATTTTGAAGGCAAAAGTATAATTGCATAAGATTTATAAATCTTTGTATATCTTAGAAAGTAGCTGCCAAAATATAAACAAAATTAAGAGCGTTAGAAAGATAAGTTAACACAACCTAATTATAGTAAGAATATTTATACTTCTTTTCTCAGAAAGAATAAGAACAAAAATTAGGAAGAATTTCTAAACCACCTAAGAAACTTGATTTTATTTTATATTTAGCTACTATATGAAAAGCTAAAATATACTGTATTTTTCAAGTAACTATGAAACTGTTACCCAAACTAATCACTTATAAACAAAATCTCTTATCATAGCAAAGAATCAGTTTCTATGGACCCTTTTCTTTTAAAATAATTTAATAAAATTAGAAATCAACTATCAATGTAATTTTAAAGATTCTTGGGCTATTTAATAGAAAAGTAGTTACCAGCAACTATGAATAACACTCAAAAACAAATTTTAAATATATAATTCGATATCAATAAAGACTAGATTTAGGAAGGATGGTACACTATGCTTTTTGGAATAAAAGTTTTACCGGTGAGAATAATAGGCAAAGATTGCAATATAACTGGAAGCCTAATGAATTTGGCTTTCAATATGCTATCTTTCAGTGTCACTAGAAGATTTTGAATAAGATTTTGACATAATGGAAGAATGTTCTAAACCAGTCAGACATTTCTAATGTTGAGGTTCTAGACCATATAAATTTTGATAATTGTAAAAAAATCATAACTATATTAAATATTATTTTGATAGTTACAGTAGGTTACAAGCAAACCTTATAATTACATTCTAACTTATAAAGATGTCTTTGTATGTAGAGGGGAATTTTTAAATTTGTGGGCATGGATGATAAATTATTCATCTTTATCTTTCTGGTAGGTAGTCACAGTTTTTAGTTCTTAGAAAACAATAAATGCTTTTAGCAATGAATTGCTTTTAATAAAGATTGTTCATACTTATTCATTAAATCAAATGTGTTCATTGGCACATTCGAGGAGAAAACTAAGTAAACTTCATTTGTGCAAACCTTTGTGTTTTTATATATGATTGCTGCTTGGTTTGCATCAAACTGACAATGTGAAAGGAATATATTGAAAAGGAAGATATGAACAAAGATGGAAGTCAACGGAAAGGGGAGTGATGCATTTTACATTTACAGGTGTGATGCACCATTTTATATCATTTTTAACATTGTTAATATTGGCAAATTTTATTTCATTGTCTAGCCAGAGATAGCATGTATATATCGGTAACTTTTAATATTTGACATTCAGAGATTTTTTATTTTTTATTTTTATTTTTGATTTTAGAGAGAGGGGAAAACTGGAAGAGGGAGAGGAACATCAATGTGAGGGAGAAACATCAGTTGGTCACTTCACATACATGCCCTGACCTGGGTTGAATCTGCAACCCAGGCACATGCCCTGACCGGGAATCGAACTGGTGACCTTTAACTCGCTGGATAATGCCCAACCAACTGAACCACCTGGCCAGGGTGGTGTTCAGAGTTTTAGAACAAAACCTTTTTGACCATATTTGCTTTATTTCTCTGTGTAATGTGCATATACATATTCAATATATTGTTCTCCCCCTTCTTCTTGTCTGAATTCTTTATCACATGGTGGCTGAGACCATTGCTATGTTGTTACACGTCTGTCTTCTTACAAGACTCTACCTCTATGAAGGAAGGAACTGTGTTTACTATATCAATATTCCAAGGATCTGGCAATGGGTAGAATATCAATTTACGACAAAAGAATATTAGTCAGGGAGAGCCAGATGGATGAAATAAATAGGGCAAGGTATGTGGGAAGGGGTATGAAGCTTTTGTGCTCGCTGAGCATACCACTATCCCCAAATCGCCAGGTATTCACCAACCTGAAAAGCATCTAGAACAAATTTTAAGGAAACAAAATCATCTTATGAAACAATGTGATTCCATTATTGCTGGCATGTCTTCTTTGCAAATATTTTTAATTGAGTTCAGTGTTAGATGGTTTAGAATTATGTTCAAGGTAATTACATTGCTTAATGCTAAATGAGCCTTTTGGATTTATGTCCTTTAAAATATTTTTCTAATCTTAATTTCATATTATTTATGTGAGTAGCTCTGACAGTTTGTATTTAGAAAAAATATACAGTGTGTATTTCCTTGTCTGTGACTTACATTGCTGGCCATTCAAAAAACAATGCTGTTTTTCCTAAAGCTGATCTATTACAAAATAACAGGTTAAATATCTCATTTGACTAATTTGTACTTTTTTTTCCAAACAAGGTTTACCAGTGAGTGAAAAACATGTTGCCTCCATCTCTCCAAGTAAAACATGGCCATTGTGTGCTTCTTTATATTTTATGACAAAAATTGTTGAATAAAGATTATAGTTTCTCCATTTCTTTAACATATTATAGTTTTTACATAAGAAAATTAACTTAGGTATTATTTTTCAATATTAGCACATTTTAAAATTAGTAGGCAAATATTGATATGAAACCCAGCGAATGTGTAAAACAAATTAAAAGGAGAGAAATGATACTCTCCTAACAGACGTCTTCCTCCTGAATGGTGGTGTTGGTGGATGACATATAGTAAGTAGTTAATGAATGTTTATTGAGTGATGAATGATGGGGGGACAGATTTCCTTTTTTTATGACTAATACATTCATTAGTACTAAGTACACTCATAAACAACTAGGTACCTCCCCATACATGATTATTAAATATTTTAAAGGGTAAAACAAACCATGGCTCAAAAAGGAATTTTGTAAAAAAATTTTCAGCACATGCTTATGTTTCTTAAATGTAATTTGTTTATCATTTATGTACTGTAATGAAATTTTAAAACAATAGTTTTTAGGTTACAGTCAAAATGGCAGAGTATGTGGATTCTACACTCACCTCCTCCCATGACCACATGCAAATTGCAACTAAATTATAGAACAATCAACCCGGATAACCACCTAAAGACTAGCTGAACAGAAGTCTTATAAAGGATATAAAGAATATTTTATGTCAAGACTAGTAGGAGGGGCAGAGACACAAAATGGGCTGATTTTATACCCGTGGGTGTCAGTTCAGAATCTGAAGTGGTATCTCAGGGGCAGACGTCTCCCCTGAGGAGTGATGGGTCTCAGCCTCCACTCATTTTTACCGGTAAGATTTTTACTTTCCTAAAACATATTTGCTAGTGCTTCATCTAGTGTTTGTCATCTCTTTGATACTAATAATATCTTCCAAAGTCTTCGGGTTCAGCCTCTATGGCTACCTCTTCCTCATAGTCTCTAAAAATTTAGTTCCCAGATGTGTTCTATTATCTTCCCTTCCATTTCCATTGCCACTGACTCACCTCAAAAACCTTTCTTACCTCAATCTTCCTTCAATTATTATAATACCTTTCCCTATACTATTCCTTCCCTTCTGCTGGTACATTTTGTCCATAGTACTTAACAGCAAACTCTAATATAATGATTTCCAAGGTATCTTGTAGTTTTACAGAGTATGCCTTTTCTCCTCTATTTTAATGCATTAATACACAAAAAAGCAATGTGTCATACACATCTTTATATCTTTCTAATATCTAACATTTTACTAATATATTTAAGATATTCAATATTGATAAAACTGGATTAAATATTGATTGTTGAATTAGTTTAAATCAGTTTATCTCTGCTTTTCAAGGTGTGTTTATCTTAGCAATTGAAAAGCTCCCAAAACTTAAGACAGAATAATTAGGCATTTTAAACATCTTAATGAGTCTTTAATTTCTGCTTGATTCTCAGAAAAGATCAAACCCTTTTAAATCAATAGAAGTGGAATGCCCTATATGAAAGTCTAAATTTTGTATTTATGAAGACAACTTATGAATTAGTTTGTAGCATGTTTGGCTGAAAGTAACTGAACATTTGACTGACACAGCTTAAACACATAGAGTATGCTTATGCGGTTGGTTCCTATATCACAAGGACGGTACAGCTCAAAAGCAGTCTGTACAGAGCTGCTTCATTAACACATTGCTCCAATGATATCTTTCTTTCTGTTCAATCCTTTGCATATAGGCCTCTTTTTTCTTCTCATAACTGTTAGATATCACTGCTTAGTCACAAGGTGGTTCCTGTTGCCCAAACTCACGTCTGAATTCCAGGCAGCAAACAGTTACTCTTTGCTCTTTTATTTGGGAAATAAACTCTTCACAGTGACATGTGCCTACATCTCATAGCAGATCTGTTTTCATGTGGATGCCTTCAACTGCAAGAGATTCTGAAAGGGAATATTTTTCAATGGAAATATTTGAGCATTTTCCCCATGGAATAAAAAATAGGTAGATATTAGCAGTGTTTATGCTACATCATGGTATCCAGATGAGCAGGTTTTTTTTTAAACTATGTATTTATATCCAATCCAGATTTAATTCATTTTGGATTTAATTATTTGAGAACTAAATGTATGTATATAACTTTTTAGTATAAAGACATTTCAAAAATGGCAATAATCTTAAAACCACAAGATAGAATTAACAAACCTTTTTAATTGCTTCTGGTACTTAACTGCTGTGTTTTTTCCCCTCCTCTTTCCCTTAGCCAAGCCTAGTTTTATAATCTAGCCCCAGGACACAGAGGGTTTAATTCGCACCAGCACAACTTTAAAAATGTATGGCCACCAGCCGCCTATACACCCATGTTACTTGGACTTGGGGCAGTGGAGAGGCTTTGGGTAAACTAGGCACTGTGCAACAGTGTACCCCTGGACTGTGTAACAAAATCAGCGATAAAAGTATTCTGAACACAATAAATAATTTATATGCATGTGCATGCAATTATGTTTTAAAGAACTTGTATTTTTCTGCTATTATTATTATTTTTTTTTGTTTTAACCCAGGGCGGCCCCTCTGTTTCTGTTATGGCTGTTATGTAGGTGGATATAAGTGCGTGTGTCTGTTTGTATGTGTGTAAGCTTACATGCACTCGACACTTCTTATGAACTTTGAGGTTTAATAAACTGCAGAACATGTGTTGTTGGAGTGATAACAAAAGTTCTATTCAAGAGAGTTTGTCATCAGCTGACAAAGAGTATGGTGATTGACAATTATTCATTTTAAGAGTTTCCTGGAGTCATAGACATTATTATTTAGTTTAAAAAACTTTACTATTCTACTTACGATATTTACACAAGATCTTACCTGTCAAAAAAAAAATCAGACCCTGATAAACACAGAAAAAACACCCGAAAAATATGAAACTGACCAGCATAGTCTGATGCTAGAGCTGGGACAACTTTAGGGCAGTAAGTGCTGGAGGCTGCAAGCAGTGGCCTTGACTCCCCAAAAGTCACAGTCCTTCATTCATCCTACCTCCCCCCATTCAGGGAATGTTTTATGATTTGACTTGTTTAACATCATCTCCCTAAATTGCAACAGATTATTAATTTATTGTCTCTATTGGTGTATCTGAGGAAAAAAAATTTCCCTAGAAATGTTAATACCATGAAAAACATTTTCTATGCTTTCAAAAGAAGGTATAGAAATGACATATTTTTCTTAAAGTCTTTGGTAGTTTCTGGGGGACATTATGTGTGAAAGACATGACCATTATTTTTAGATTTTTAATGGTTTGGGATTAAAAAAACACTTTCAAAAGAATAGTATTTGGTTTTTGTTTTGCTTGTATTATTTTATATTCGATGTGTTTTTTTTTGAAGCATAACACCTAATGAAACATTTGTCCTCTAATAGTCTTTATGTAACAATTTAGTATCATGCTAGTCTTTTGTTTTTCAGCTTCTTGCATTTAGTTTCTATTTGTTCTATGTCTTCATCTGTACCAGTTGATGTTTAACTAAACTCTAATATCATTTATGATCCTATTCATTTATCATACTACAATACTCTAATGATTTCTATCAGTTTGCACTGCAATCACAATCTTCTAATCTTTTGTTCCTTGCAACTGTACTTGTGTTACGTGTAGATCTGTGTGTCAAGATTTTTAATTGGTCTTGATATGGTTCATTAATCAATACATCCATAAAAGAGGCTTATTTTATTTGAATGTGCATAGAGTAAATAAATTTAAGATTTACCCTTTTTGTTTTAATGAATATTCCTTTAATTCTTTTTCGTTGTTTTATTATCCATTTTGGCCAAGCTCACAATTACCTACAGATAATTTCCTTCCCTAGCCTGGCTCAAATGATAAATAAAGGAAAAAAAAAACAATCTTCAATGAAAGGTGTGCATCACAGCAAGGGGCACTTAGATGAAAAGGCCTGTTGATGTAGACATCAACAATGTAAATAAAAATGCTTTTATTGTATGAGGCATTATGGTCATGACTTTTATAAAGTCAACTATGAGGATAAGTTTTAATAAAATGGCCAAATGCTTGATCTGAGCACATGCTGTTTTAGTATTGGACATGCAACCCTGACGGCCACCACTGTAACTGGAAGACCCAGGAATGCAGCATCATTCAGGCCTAGTTTCTCCAGCCTCCACTACCTGCCTTTGTGACATTCTGGATTTTGGATTTTCTCACCTTTGGGTCCAATTTCCCCATTTACCTAGCAAGTCAGTCATTTTAGTGTTAGAAATGAATGTAAAACAGTCATTTACTTAGGTTTTTTTATATTTTTGGTAGAATGTGGACTCTTGAAGAATTAAAAAATTATGAGAACACATTAAATAAATTAATGCTTTTCATCCAGACTTGCTTAATTATGAGTACTAGTTTTATTAAATAGTCGAAATCAAATTTCCCAAGACTGGTGTCTTGACTAAATGATTTCTCTTCACTGCTACCTACTTTCTTTGTATAGCCCTTCTACTGTGTCATGAACCCATTTTTTAATATATAAATATTTTGTTTATTTCAGGAAATTCTCAGTAATTGTAAGAATTAGTGCCATGTTCTGAAAAGAAAATCAGGCTGGAGTTGAGTGACCTGAATGTTCATACTGCCTCTGCCACTTATTAGCTCTGACGGAGAGTAATGCAGTTTAGCCTTCCCCAGCCCGAATTTCTTCATTTGTGGAACATATAGCCTAGGGTGGTAAGTCGTTTTCCAAGTCAAGTTTCCTATAGGACTCTATTACAAATACCTTGAAGGCATTCCTGAGTGCTTTCATGAATTTAGGTGATCTTGTAATGTATTTTCTATCATAGTTATTTAGCCTAGCACCTTACTTAGAACTGAAGAATTTTAGAAGTCTTTATTAGTGGCACTCAATACAAAACTTGAAACAAATATACTTTTCCAAATATTATTTATTTTATCATGTTTCTTGTATTTCCAGATGGTGGGTGGGATCAAGAAGTAGTAGGAATTTTGCAGAGACCTAATAACAAAGAGAAGTAATTTGTCAGATCACCTCAGAAAATTGTTTTGAGTATGTTACCACTTAGGTATTACTGGAGATAATCCCACCTTTTTTAAATGGTCACATTGATTTATTTTTCATATTAATAAAATAATAATTAATAGATTCCATAACTGTGTATTCATTATAAAGCCAAGTCAACTGTAGAAGATCTGAATGTTTGGAAATTTTAGGATTTTGACTTAAATGTGGCTTTTTTTTTACTTAAATTTCAAAGGTGTCATTTCATGCGAGGAAGAAACATTCATATTGTTTCTTTCTGAAATTTCTAGAGAAACGTTTAAAATTTTATTCTGTATGTGAAAGTTTAGAGAAAATTATTTTGTTAATAAAATATGACTTTTTAAAATATCTCTTATTGCTAATAAATAACAACTATGAGTATTTAATCATATGCAATAGATCCCATAAGATTTAGAAACAACCTTTTATTGTCTACTGCTTTTTTGTTTTGCAAACCAGATTTGTATATTTCTTGTTTCTTCGCAGTTAAACATAAACATATGCGAGTACCTTCACACTCTTAATATCCTCCTTCTTAAAAATAATTGGAAACAAATTATAATTATACAACCTATTTAAACATATTTTTGCTATTAAAATTTTATAAAATAATTTTCAATTCTGGTGTAATTTTCATTCCCTTTTGCTTCTTCACAATTTATAATAAACTGCAAGGATCAGGTGGTGCTAGAAGGACATGCTGTAGAATTTCTTTGTGAAACTGAAGGACACATACCTCCAGCAATTGCCTGGAGAAAAGCAGATATTACTGTATTTACAAGTGATTTTTTCAAGAAACATATATCTTATTTTTACAAGAATATACAAAGAGTTTAAACTAATTATCATAGGTATATCATGGATATGAATATATCACAATGAAAGTTATTTTTTTCAATCCTTACCTGAGGATACTTTTACTGATTTCAGAGAGAAAGGAAGGGAGAGAGATAGAAAAAGAAAGAGAAACATCAATCAGTTGTCTTCCGGATGGACCTGGGGATCAAACCCACAACTTAAGTAGTTATGTGCCCTGATCGAGGCTTGAACCCGAAACCTTTTTGGTGCAGAGGACAATGCTCGAACCAACTGAGCCACCTGGCCAGGGCTCAATGAAAGTAACTTTTTTTTTTATCCTCACCTGAGGGCATGCTTATGATTTTAGAGAGAAAGTAAGAGAGAGAGAAAAGGAGAGAAACATACATGTGAGAGAGAAACATCAGTTGGTTGCCTCTTGTATGTGCCTCAACCAGGCATCAAACCTGCATCTAAGCATATGTCCTGACCAGTAATCAAACCCATGGTCTTTTGGTTTATGAGACAACACTCTACCCAACTGAGTTACACCAGCTAAGGCTCAATAGAAGTAATTTTTCATGTAAATGTGCCATTAGAATTTCTGTTAAGTTTTAAGTTTCAGCATTTGAATATGTGGCCTTCTTTAGATCTTTCTTCCTGAGACTCAGTTTCCTAATTTATAAAACAAAATTATTGGAATGTTCAGCAGTTTTAAAGGTTTTTTTTTTTAAGTAGCAGAATTTTTGTACAGTCTAAAGTGAAATTGTAAATAAAATGAAATAATATGTGAAGCTCTAACATACAAAATGGATAAAAGAGAGCTATTGTCATTGGTAGAGTGTGGGGCCTGGGAGGCAGGGGCTGCCTTTCCCACAGATGGGGTCTGTTACTTCTAGGGGACACTTGGGACATTACAGAACAAAGTAGACATCCTGTGAGATAAGATCTTGTCTATGATTTCTCTGGGCTGGGAATTCCCAACTTCCCCAAAGATTAAATTATAAATATATCAATATTTGGGAATTTCTTTTGACTAAAGTTCTTGCTCTAGTCTTAATTAGAGTGGATAGGAGATGGATGTTGGAGCCAGAAAGCTGACATTCACATCTACACTTTATTTACTAGTAGTATGACCTTGGGCAAGTGAGTTAACTGCTATTTAACAGAGGCTCTTCATCTGAATGCTGGGAGTAATTATATCTCCTATGAATGCTGGGAGTAATTATATCTCCTACAAATATGGTAGCTGTGGATTTATGGTGGATGTGAAATTATAAATAATTTCAATTATTTATAGTTTTAAACATTTAGAACAGTAACTGGCATATCTGTGTACAAATCCAACAAAGTTTAGCTATCATTTTTTCCTTTTATACATGAATTAGACATTTCATAAGACAAATATTCACTGAAATAGTTGTTAATGACAACACATTTACTTGTTAGGAAGGTCAGTGTAAGCTCCAAGGTAAATTGTATAATTATGGCCTGGGGCATGGCTGTTAGAATTACCAGCGTGGGTACCACAAAAATCACCATTCTTGATATACTACCTCAGCATTTTAAATGTTATAATTCAATGTTTTTATATTTCAAATATTGTATACATGTAATAAGCAAATATTATGAAGGTGAATACTGTATTTAGTAATCATTTTGTGGATAATCTAAAGAAATATAAAAAAAAAGTTTCCTTCCTAGCCAAAAGTTTATCTCCTTTGTCCCTTTTATACTATATTAAGTAAGGGGTAAGGAGATAAAACTGCAAAAGGAGGTATGGGCAAGCTTGTGCAATGCCTCTCCAGCCCTGTCAAGAGTTTTCGCTTTTATTCTAATAGTTATGGGAACCACTAAAAGCAAGAATGATGATGTGATCAGATTAGTTTTGAAATTTGCACTGTAACTGTGATAAGTAAAACTGAAGGGGCAACTAGGAAGTTGCGGGAATTCCTTAGATTGCTGAGCTGTTCTTTTGGGGGCCAATCCAGAGTCCTGCCATATTTTCTTGATACAATAGTAGGGTTGGGTCATCACCCTGTTCCATGATACCAAGGAATTCCCAAAAGGCAGATTCCAACTTTTACCCAGGCCAACTATGTATTGTAAGTAGAGCTTTCAGCTCTTTGAGCTATGTAAATGCAATACAAAGTACTTTCTTTTCCCCTTTTCAGGAGGGCGGCTCCTTCAGGATGGTCAGCATACAGTTCTCTCCTCTGGCACTTTGAGAACGGACCATGCAGCAAGCACATTATGATCAAGGCTAATATGAATGTCAAGTAGTCAGCCCTTTGCAAGTTAAAAAGAAGTGTCCAGCTGACTGTAAAACACAAAGGTATATCATGTCGTGATTGTGTTTACATATCCTGAAGGGAATGCCTCTTTTGTTTTCAATTTTACTGAGAAGTAAATTGAAATACATTAACATATAAATATTTACATATATTCTAAAATGATTACCAAAATAGGTTTAGTTAACATCCATTATCTCACATAGATACAATAAAAAGAAACAAACAAAAAATTCTCCTTGTGATAAGAAGTTTTAGGATCTACTCTCTTTACAACTTTCCTCCATATATTACATCAGTGCTAACTATAATCATCGCTATGTGCATCACAACCAGTGTCTCAGGGTGCATACTGCCTGAGGGGTCTAGTCAAGAATGAATGATATGTGGTTGTCACTAGGTAGTTTTATTTTCTTGCAAGGAGATGGATTAATGTCCAAAGCTCTGTCTCCTGTAGGGAGGCTTAGCCATTTCTTATATGGTTATGTAATTAAGTGTAACTTCAGAGTTTGCACATTAACAGTAGATGCCATTACATATGTCACATGTTCAGAGAATAGCAGAGATTTCTTCCTCTGGTCGGGAATTTTACTATTATAATTAGGATAGATCATACTGAAGACACTGGAAAGACTGTACTGCATAGATTCAGCTTCATAGTTCCTCTATTTGTATTTCTACTTTGCAGTTGGCTACAAGCTCATTTGGCTGCAGCTGCATCTAAAAAATGTTGTGCTGCATTTTAGCATTTAGCAAGAATAGTGTTTAGAAAGAACTGCCCAGACCTTGAAACTCTTGCCCTACCTAACATTCCCAGTATTTATTTATCTGGAAATTTTTAACCCTTGACCATCTACTTCCAATTCTCCTCCCCAGCCCTGCTTCTGGTAACCACAAATCTGATCCCCTTTTCAGAAATGTGTTGGCTTTTTAAAAGGTTACATACATAAGTGAGATCATATGGTATTTGTCTTTCTTTGTATGAGTTATTTTACTTAGCATAATGTCTTCAAGTTTTATCTATATTATTGCAAATGGTAGGGTTTTCTTTTTTTTTGAATGGCTGAATAGTAATGCATTGTATATATATCACAACTTCTTTACCCATTCATCTATTGATGAATGCTTAAATCACAAGATGTTGGAATCAGGCCCCAAAATGTTTTAAAAAATATAGCTGCAAATCTAGTATTATATAATCATAAAATTTTCAAGGACAAGAACTAAATAAAGACTTTTTCAGGTAAGCTGAGAGTGCTTGTGAAATACTGCTTTCAGGAAATTTCTAAAGGTTATATACTTCTTAAAAAAGGAAAAGGTCTTCAAAGAATGACAGGTTTAAAAAAAAGATGCAAAGTAGAATTTAAAAAAACTGGTGAATATATATGTGATATTAAAATATATTCTGTATTAAATACTAATGTTTAGATTTGACATTGAATAAAAATTACTTAATTAAATATTACCTAACAGTAGAATATCAGTTGGGAAATGTTTATTGAAAGTGGTAGAAATTCTTACATACCTGAGTTGAGGAGTTGGTTAATCTGTTAATCTCAGGTTTTTAAAACAATAAATGCAGGAATATCAAGAGTAATTAGCAAAAAATAAAACTGTAGTTATAAATTTTAAATTAGATAAAAAAATGGGTATCACAAAACCAATAAATAATTATTTAAATAAAACATAAGAAAGGAGTAAAAAAATTAGTAGTTAATTTGCAGACAAATTCTGTAAATATTCTAAGATAAAAATCAATTCATTGAGGGAGGGGAAGAGAGAGAGAAAGAGAGACATTGACTCTTTACTTGCATGCACTCTGACTGAGGATAGAATCCACAGCCTAAACATGTGCACTGACCAGGAGACGAACTGATGACCTTTGGTTGCTGGGTGATGCTCCACCAACTGAGCCACACAGCCCAGGGCATTCCCTTCATTTCTTATTGAAGAAATATAATTACAGAGCCAAACATGTTAATCAGTGAAGCCATGTGAACATGTTTGAAGGAAAAAGTATTAACCACCCCCGTCTTGTGTCAGGGGTCCCCAGCACTACGGCTCCCTTACACCATCCTGCTTTCAGGGGTTTTTTTTGTATATTCAGAAATGGAATTCCAGAAATGAAATTGCTGAGTCAGACAGTGATTCTATGTTTAGTTGTTTGAGGAATCTCTTTCCTGTTTTCCGCAGTGGCTGCCCCATTCTGCACCATTTCATCTTCCCACCAACAGGGCACCATTGCATAAGGGTTCCGATTTCTCCACATCCTTGCCAGCACTGGTTTTTGGGGTTTTGTTTTGTTTTTCATAGCAATCATCCTGTTGAATGTGTGGTATTGGGTCACATGATTTTAACATTGAGATCCACTGTCAAATATATACCATATGTGGTCCCACTTTCTCCTCATTTGCTTCTCCGGGAAACTGGCCCAAGCTGGGCTCCTGGGACTGTGCTCCTAACAGCTGGTCCAGAGGCTGTGTGCCAACACAGTGGCCTGACTGAGAGGGTGGGCATGACCCCAGAAAGGAAAGATGGGGCTGCCCACTTCTGTCCCCTTTGCTGGACCTTCCTTTGAAATAAACTCCCTTTTCCCAGCTGGCTAGCTTAGTCCCAAGTAAACGCCCTTTCTTGCCCATCTCCAAAAAAGAAAAAAAATAGAAATTGAACTGGAAGATGCCATATAAGGAACTTTTAAAAGACTTTTTATGGTACGGCCTCCCCTTCAGCACTTCTTACATTGGGGCCCAGTATTTCTCTGTGTGAGGTGGAGGGGGTGTCTTGAGCACCATGAGATATTGAACAGCACCCTTTATCCCCACATAGTCCATATCAGGATCACCCCCTAGTCATGACAACCACAGATGTCCCCAGACACTGCCAAGGTTCTTGCAAGCTAATACGAGGCTAGGGAGTCACTCTCCTGGGGCCAAAATTTGGGGGACACACCATATAGCTTGGTCATCAAAATGAGTGATATTAAAGCAATATTTTAACAATTAAAAATGAACACAAAAAATTCATTGTGAACAAAATGTCAAAAATTTTATGCTGTTTCAAAAACACCAGGTTTAACATGCACAAAGCCAAGAAAACCAATGATACCAGACACTGAATTTATTACACTATCCTTTGAACACCCAGCAGGAATCAACTGCTGGATGCAGGTACCATGGAGTGCAAGAAAATGTCAAAATTTTATGTAAATACAGGGTTGAATGAAGAGTGTTGTGTCAAGCCATTTTGGAAACCAAGACAAAATGACATATGCCTCATTTATAAGTGTTTTTAAGTCATTTATTTTAATGGTTAACTTTTCCCCTAGATCATTAAAGTGGTTGAAAAAATATGGAAGTGTAGGTAGATACACTTCACTTCCTTGTACAACTAAAGGAGTGATAGCAATAAATGTAAAAACAAAAAACAGCCAGAATTTCCAGAAAATTGAACTGTATGGAAGTCCAACAACCAAGGACTTAAAGAAGAAACATTCATCCAAACTGGTAGGAGGGGCAGAGATGGGAAGCTGGTGGTGAGGATGTGTGACAAGGCAGTGGCTGGTCGACCTGGGTGGGTGAGGCTGTGGCTGGCTGACCGGGTGGTCCCACATTTGTGTGTGGATAAACTGGAAGGAACAACTGGGTAGTGAGACAAACTGCAAAAGCCAAGGTTCCAGTGCAGGAAACTAAAGCCTTAAAACCTCTAGTTGTAAAAATCTGTGGAGCTTGGCAGTGGGAGAAACTCCCAGTTCCACAGGAGAGTTTGTAGGAGAGACCCATGAGCTTCTAGAATGTACACAAGCTCACCCGCCCAGGAATCAGCACAGGAAATTGCACAGTCATCTTGTGGGAAGTGAGAGAAGCAACTGAAAGCAGACAAGAGCCAAGCAAGTGGCATTATTCTCTCTCTGACCCCTCCCCACATATATCGCCACAACGCAGTGAAGTGAGTTGCTGCACCCTTATGAATACTTAAGACTTTGCCCCTTACAATGAAACAGGAGCTCTGAGACAAAGAAATATGGCCCAAATGAAAGAACAGAGCAAAACTCCAAAAAAAGAAGTGATGAGGAGATGGCTAACCTATCAGATGCTGAGTTCAAAACACTGGTAATCAGGATGCCCACAGAAATGATTGAGAATGGTCACAAAATAAAGAACTTAAGTCTATGCAAAGCGAAGTAAAGCTAAATGCATAGGGAACCAACAATGAAGGGAAGGAAACCAGGACTCAAATCAACAATATGGAATAAAAGGAAGAAATAAACATCCAATTAGAATAGAATGAAGAAACAAGAATTCAAAAAAAATGAGAGGCTTAGGAACCTCTGGGACAACTTTAAATGCCCCAATATACAAATAATATGATTATCCAGAGGATAATCTTATCCTGTGTGTGCCAGAAGGATAAAAGGAAGAGAAAGAAACTGAAAACTTATTTGAACAAATAATAAAGGAAAACTTCTCCAATCTCATGAAGGAAATAGACATGCAAGTCCAGGAAGTTCACAGAGTCCCAACCAAGTTGGACCCAAGGAGGAAAACACCAGGACACATCATAATTACATTACCCAAGATTAAAGATAAGGAGAGAATCTTAAAAGCAGGAAGAAAAAAAGCAGAGAGTTACTTACAAAGGAGTTCCCATAAGACTATCAGCTGATTTCTCCAGAGAAACCTTACAGGCAAGAAGGGACTGGAAAGAAATGTTCAAAGTCATGAAAGGCAAGGACCTACATCCAAGATTACTCTATCCAGCAAAACTATCATTTAGAATGGAAGGGCAGATAAAGTGCTTCCCAGGTAAGGTCAAGTTAAAGGAATCCATCATCACCAAACCCTTAGTATATGAAATGTTAAGGGGACTTATCTAAGAAAAAGAAAATAAAAGACTATGAACAGTAAAATGACAACAAACTCACAACTGCCAAAAATTGAACCTATAAAACAAAAACAAAAAGAAACTAAGCAAAGTACTGGAACAAGAACAGAATCATAGATAATCATAGAGATGGAGATCACATGGAGGGTTATCAGTGGAGTTGGGGAGGTACAGGGAATAAGAAGCATAATTGATAGGTATAAAATAGACAGAGGGAGATTAAGAGTAGTAGAGGAAATGGAGAATCCAAAGAACTTATATGTACAACCCAAGGACATAAACTAAGGTGGTGGGTATTGCTGGAGAGAGGAAGGGTGCAGGGCAGAGAGGGATAAAGGGGAGAAAATAATGGGACAACTGTAATAGCATAATAAATAAAACTTACTTAAAAAAAGACATTGAAAATGAATTGTATTAAAATTTAGAGTAGTTTGAGATTAAATATTTTATTTGTAACCCACCCCCCAAAACCAATTCACTCTGATATGATTCTTCCAGAATATAGAAGGAATTTTTTTCTAACTTTAACTAATAAAAGACATTATAAGAAAGATGTTAAGGATAACTTCTACAAAATACTGTCCAACTCTAACCATAGACATTGAGATTACTGGAGGAAAAATCATGATTTTAATAGATGCAATAAAAATATTTGATTTAATTTATCATCTCTGCATTATTGAGAAAAGATCTTGTCCTGGCTGATGTGACTCAGTTGTTTGGAGCGTTGTCCCATAGCCAAAAGGCTGCAGGTTCAATTACTAGTCAGGGCACACACCTAGATTGTGGTTTGATCCCCAGTGTGGCACGGGCATGTGTAACTCTGGATTCAGATGTGTACGATTCCTGATCCAGAGCCAATCTCTGGGCGCATACAGGAGGCAACCAATTGATGCTTATCTCTCACCTGATGTTTCTCTCTCTCCCATACTCTCTCTAAAAGCAATGACAAAAAATGTCCTTCAGTGAGGATAAATTTTTTTTTAAAAGAAAAGATCTAAAGATCTTAACAATATGAAAATAAACCACTAAAATCTTTCTATAAAAATAGTTTTTGGTATAGAAAAAAGTACAGGAAATAATATTTTCAAGGTAAAATGTTAGAAATGTTCTTTTTGAAATTAGAAAGAAGATTGTATTTATTCAATGCTATAATAGAAGGTCCTAGCTGGTACAAAAAGGACAGAAATAGAAAAAAAGTTAAGAGTTTAGATGAAATATGTACAATTATATTATTTATATAAGATTTTCCTCACACATAATCCAAAATCATCTACAAATAATTATCAGAAATTATGAGTTTAACAAGATCATTGAATATGACATCAACAAATAAAAAATTATCTTCTTTTCTGCATTCCATCAGCAGAATACTCAAATTTATTTTTGAAATGATACTTCTTAAAATAGCAGGAAAGTATAAGTTACTTAAAAGTAAATCTAACAGTACATTATTTTTGACTGTAGGTACAATATTGTACAGCAGATCTCTAGAATTTATTCATCTTTCTTAACTTCAAATTTTACCTTCTGATTAGTAACTAAAATTTTGTTAAGGAATGAAGGACATAGGGTATGATGGGCAGTGACTACTGTTATTCAAGTTTTGTTTGTTTTTTTTTTTTCATGAAGGGAAGCACTAAAAATGTGGCAGTGAAGATGGGTCAGATACATGTAAGAATATAGTGAAGAGCCTGCTTTTCTAAAGGAAAGAAGTCAGAAAGATGACAGAGAAAATAATGAATGGTTCAATGTCTCTCAGGTGACATGTTTGAATGGGATTTGCAAATACAATGAAGCAATTTGCCTTTAAAAAAAGAGAAGCGGTATTTCTTTAGTTTACATGAGGAGAAGAGGGGAGCAAGGAATGGGTGTACAGAGAGATACCTCTATGATAGAAACTTCAGGAATTTATAATATGTATCTTTTCTCTGTAGAGTAGAAGGTGGGTAATTTTGTGGAAGAGTTTTGTGATGAGAGATGAATTAGGTGACTTGAACAGAGTGGTAAGTGCTCAGAGTTTTTTGTTTTTTTCTTTTCTGTTGTTACTAAATGGGATCTGAAGTGACAAGGGCAATTTGTCCCCAAGAAACCAAGACATGACCACTTCAGATATTTTGGAGGGAAAGGTGAGAATAAAAGAGTGCAGGTATGTTGAACAGAAGGACAATGGTGTAAAGAAGTTGAGAATTTGGAAGAAAAGTGGTAGAGGTAACGAAACTTGGGATCTTGGCCAAAAAGGGAAACGAGAAGGGATTTGATCAATAGGGAAGAAGAGCAGTGCTCCTGGGAGTGTACTTGAAGTCAAAATGAAAAGATGAGAAAACAGTAGAGAGAGGTTTAGCTTTAAAGTGTGGTATGAAACATTTCTAATAAATTATAATTAATGGCATAACCTATGCTAATGAGTAGCTGTTGTGACAAGAGGAGAAAGTGGTTGGAGGTACAGGAAATCAGGTAATCAAGGTCATGATGTGAAATGTTAGATGTTAAAAATCACTTGGTTAAATCGGAAGAATAATTTCCTAATAGAGTCACTGCTCTTCATGAGATGCCCACTATGATTGTCAGGAATCATAAACTATGGTTTCAGGAAATCCAAAGTCTTATTTAACTTGGCACATAGATATTTTAATAACACAAAATCCTCAATTTAAGAATATAATTTCTTTAACTTAGTAATAAATTATTGATGTTAGCATATATTTTTATTTCAGTCATGCAAAAAAGATATTAGGAAAGACATGATGAAAGCACTTATACCTACTACTCAAATAAAGGAATAAACATTACAAATATGTTTAAAGACTGTTCATTCCTCTTCTTTTCTACCAAACTTGTCACTAACCTGGGTTTTGTGTCTATGATTCCCTTGCATGTTCACATAGTTGACTTATTTTAACAAAACTTTTTATTTTGAGGTAATTGTTGATTCACATTTGGTTGGTAGAAACACTGAGAAACCTAATGTACCATTTATCTAATTTTCCCCAGTGGTAACATCTTTCAAAATTATAGGACAATATCACAACCAGTAAATGTAAAGATCAAGAAAATTTTCATTACTACAGGGACCATCATGTTGCTCTTCTTAAAGCCATGCTTGAGTTCCTCCTATTCTCCCCACCTCCAGATTCACCACTCACTAAAACCTTGGTAACTATTAATTTGTTCTCTGTTTCTATAACTTTGTCACTTCAAGAATGTTATATAAATAGATTTATATAGTATTTAACTTTTGGGGTTACTTTTTTCATTCAGCATAATTGTCTGAATATTCATCTAGATTTTGTGTATTGACATGTTAAAGATCACTTGGTTGAATCAGAAGAATCAGTAAGCCTTTGTTGTGTAAGTAGTTTACAACTATTTCTCTTAGTCTGTAACTTGTATTTTCATCTTCTGAATATGGTCTTTCACAACACAATAGTTGTTGTTTTTGATGAAGTCCAGTTCATCATTTTTTTCTTTAATGGATTGAGCTTTTGATACAAAATCTAAGAAGACTTTACCTGGCCCTAGCTTCCGAAGATTATCTCCTATTTTTTTCTAAAAGTTTCATAGTTTTACATTTTATGTTTAAGTTTGTAGTTTTTTTTTTTAGCTAATTTTTGTATAAGGGTTGAGACTTAGGTTGAAAGTCATTTTTTGTTTGTTTGTTTGTTTGTCTATTGCTATTACCCAATTGCTCCAGCACCGTATGTTTAAAAGGTCTCCATATAGTTGTTTTGCATCTTTGTCAAAATCAGTTGGGCATATTTCTGTGGTTCTACTACTGAGTTGTTTACTCTGTTCTATTTACATACGTGTTTGTGACAACCATTTGTCAATAATACACAGTCTTTATTGTTGCAGCTATGTATTTGGTCTTTTGTAGGTTGACTCCTCTCACTTTATTTGTCTTTGTCAAAATTGTTTAGCTATTTCAGTTCCTTTGCATTTCCATATCAACTTTAGAATAATCTTATCTATATCCCTTAAGAATAAATCTTGCTGGAATTGTGATATAAATATCAAATTTGTGAAGAAATGTCATCTTTGCTATCATGAGATTTTCAATCTGTTAATTTTTTTTCTTTTATTTGATTTCTCATATCAGCATTTTGTAGATTTCAGTACACAAGTGCTATATATATTTTGTTAAATTATACCTAAATATTTTAATGTTTTTGAACAATTGTAAATTGTTTTTTAAATTTCTGTGTCCATATGTTCATTGCTTAAATATACAAATTCAATTTTTAAAATATTTATCTGGTACAGTCCTGCTGAGCTCACTTTGAAGTATTTTGGCAGATTTTTTTTTTAGAATTTTCTACATAGAAAATAATATAATCTTCAAATATGGAGTTTTTTTTCCCCCCCAACTATTATACCTTCTATGCCCTTTCCTACCACATTACACTGGATAGAAATTCCAACAATATGTTGAATAAGAGTGGTAAGCACAGACATTCTTACCTTGTTTACTGTCTGAGAGAAAAAGCATTTACTCTTTCACCATTAAGTAGAAAGCTGTATGTATTTTTTCTATGTATATTTGAAAATATGTAAATTGCCTTCTATTTCTATTTTTTTCTGAGAGTTTTTATTTAATTATAAATGCGTGTTGAGTTTACTGAAACAACTTCCCCATTAATAGATATTATCAGGTGACTTTTCTTCTTTAGATATTAGTATGGTAGATTTCATTAACTGATTTTCAAATATTGAACCACTCTTACATATATAAACTCTACGTGGTCATGGAATTATAAACCTTTTTATGTTGATGAATTTCATTTGCCAATACTTTGTTAATGATTTTTTGTGTCTATCTTTATGAGAGGTACTGGTCTGTAGTTTTCCTTTTATGACCCTCTTTATCTGACTTTGATGTTAGGGTAATCCTCCTCAAAAGAGTTAGGAAACATGCTCTTTTATTTTTTAGATAAAATTGTATAGAATTGGTGTTAATTTCTTCACTAATATTTTAAATTTTTTCTTGGAGATTTATTTTTGGGAGTTAAACCAGTTATGAATTTAATTTCCTTAATAATTATTGGGCTATTCCAATTATTTATTTCATATTAGATGAGTCATATAGTTTGTATTTTTTAAGAAAATAAATTAAGATGAACTCTTTTTAGCCAGCATTGTATTTTTGTTTTTACCATATATTTTTATTTCAGACTTATGAAAAGATACTGAGAAAGAATAATGAAAATTCTTGGAACCACAACTCAAATGAAGAAATAAATATTATAAATATGGTAAAAGACTGTGCTTATTCATCTTCCTTTCTTTTTCTGCTCTCACCTGTACACCAATTACTACTACATTGAGTTTGATGTTTATTATTTTCTCAGATGTCCAAGTAATTGACTCTTTAAAAAGTAGTGTGCCTAACCAAGATGGTATCCAGATTTATATAGATTGGCTTGGCTGGCATATATTGACAAAAATGATATTGACATGACATTATTTTATTTTGTTTCCACAGCCCTCTCAGTGTTTATTCAACTACCTCAGGTTACAAGCACAGAGGTTGGAAAGAATATAAACATTTCATGTCATGCTCAAGGAGAACTATAGCCCATAATTACTTGGAATAAGGTAAGATATCAACTAAAAGTACAGTAATATTAAAAACACTGACAGATGTATTGACCCACTGAAACAGAGGTAATGATTGTCATTTTGATTTATTGCTGCTGAGATTTTTGCTAGCAAGTAACACTTTTTACACTGAAATGGGTTTATTTCCTGCTTCTCTTTTAAAGTGACTCTATCTGATTTTGGCTCACGACTTTGCTAAAGTTTATCCTTTTTCATTTGCTTGGTTATAATAGCTTCATAAGCATAACTAAAATCTTCCAAGGAAAAGTTGCTCTTGTCATATATAAATTAAGAGTTTTAGTGGCTAGCAAGAAATAATTTTGAATTAATAATTCAGAGTATATTAAAAGTCATTAGCAGATATAAGAAAGGAATAAAAGTTTGGTATTAAAACAAGGTGACACGGAAAAAAGTAATTCTGTAACTCAAAACTTAAATGACTGTAAATAGTAACTCTTTATTTACATATCTTGCTCCCTTTGGGTTTTTGAGCCATCTTCTTTCAAGATAATTGCTTCACCAATTTTAAGTGTTTCATGAAAATAAAATAATGGGATTCAGATTCCAGTACTCTTGCAAATAAATAAAACTACATAGACTTGAATGACACTATTTATGATACAATTTAACAAAATATAAAATTTTTGAAAGTTGTTTCTCAAAACCACCTGGCTTATTTTTGTTGTCACTTTATAGTAACAGGTTTTACAGCTTTGGTGGCTTTCTTCCTTTTTGCTGTAGCTAAGAATCAGACGCAGTTCTCTATAAAGAGTAAGTTTAATTGTCTCAAATTTATGACTTTAAGACCATGTTCTCTCAAATAATTGAGAGAATCTAAATAATTGTTATAATTTATTTTTAATTTACTATTATATAATTCAAGTATTTTACACTAAAAATAAAAAGTATGAAAAATATACATTTTGGTCCATATCTAAAACCTTACTTTACATTGTACTAAATGCTTTATTATACAGGGCAGGGCAAAAATAGGTTTACAGTAGTGAGTACACAAAAGAGCATTCTTGTATTATTATTTATTAATTAGTGTATTATTTTCCACACAAACAACTGTAAACTTACTTTTGCCTAATCTTGTATAATCATATCAGCAAAATATCTCATAAGTCTAATTTCTAAAAGGTAGCTTCTAATAACAAATTAATTGAGGGATGGCAGACATTTTACATATACTACACTATATGCCAGACATTTTACATATACTACCATGTATAATCGTTATAAAAATCTGCTTTAAGTGACAAGTTTGAAAGGATTTGAGCTGGGTTATTTCTTCTGCAAGCATAGAAACTACCTAAAATAAGCAGATGAGGAGTTTACTGAAAAGCTATCTGCTAGTTCAGAGATTTTAAATAAAAACTGTAGAACTATGTATTTAACCTGAGAGTTCCAGCAGTAAGGACAAGAAAGGCAAGGGAAGCAACTTTCAAAAGGAGGATGCAGCCATGGTCCATCAAAGGGAAGTGGGATGAAAGACTGGGAAAACACAAGGTTGCCTCATACCCCTTCTATGGAACATCTGATCTCTCTCAGTCTGCCTTTCCATCTGGTAGGTCCCTGCTACCTTTTTTTTCATTCCCTAACCTGACTTACCAGCTAGCTACCCATTACCTTTGACTTGCTTCTTAGCACTGGCCAAAGACATCTGTGAGAGACTGAATATTCACAATTCTTTTTCTTCTCTAAACCTCTATGGTTAGTTACATTCTGGGCTATTGGCTATCACTTGAAGACAAGGATTTTTTTCCTCTTTTTCTTTATTTTTCTGTTGATATTACTACAGATGTCCCCATATTTCCATAAACACGCTTTGTTCACCTCCCTCTTATCTCCCCCTCCTTCCCTCTGGCCATCACCACACTGTTATCTGTGTCCCTGGGTTATGAATATATGTTCTTTGGTTAAACTCATCACCTTCTTTCATCCTGTTCTCCCCACCGCTCTCCAAAAGTTTTTTTGAAATTGTATCTCCCATCCTCAGTTTCCTGTAAGTCTTTTGGAAGAGGGCAGGATAAGAACATCTCCACCCATATTCCACTCCAATTGCAGTCTCATAAAACCTATTTCTTTTACTCTTTGAATTAATAGCAAAATAATGAAGAGTACATAAATCCATACTAATTACAAGTGAATGCATGTTAATAATACGTCATAGAAAGTAGAGTTATTCTAATTTTAAGCTATAATTTTAACTGAGAAACACTGATATATAAAAAGTTTTTGGCTATATGAAATTTATGAGGAAAAAATTCCTTTATCTTGAAAAAGGAATAGATGGGAAATCAGAAAATTAAATTATTTTCATGTTTTTAGGTGGTGGATTTGTGAGTATTTTTCTCCTTTCCAAATTTTATTTTTATTGGTGTTGTCAGAATTCTTTTAGAAATAAGTAGGAAATAAATAAACTGTGCATATTCATCCTTTGGAATGATGATTTTAAAATAATCATCATCAATGGGTACCGTGCCTTATCAAATGCTTTTCCCCCATCTATTGATATGATCATGTGATTTTTGTCTTTCCTTTTGTTTATATGATGTATTATAATAAAGGAGCATACCTCAACACAATAAAGGCCATATATATAAAACCGACAGCCGATATCATACTCAACAGGCAAAAACTAAAAGCTTTCCCACTAAGATCAGGAATAAGACAAGGATGCCCACTTTTACCACATCTATTCAACATAGTATTGGAAGTCCTAGCCACAGTGATCAGAAAAGAAAAAGAAGTAAAGGGCATCCAAATTGGACAGGAGGAACTAAAACTGTCATTATATGTAGATGACAGATAGTACACATGGAAAACCCTATGGATTTCACCAAAAAACTGCTTGACCTAATTAGTAAATTTGACTAAACAGCAGGATACAAAGTCAATATTCAGGAATCAAAGGCATTTTTGTACACCAATAATGAAATTTCAGAAACAGAATCAAGAAAAAAATCACATTTGCTATAGAAATAAAGAAAAATAAAGTGCCTAGGAATAAACCTAACCAATGAGGTAAAAGATTTGTACTCAGAAAGCTACATAACACTGAAGAAAGAAATTAAAGAAGACACAAGTAAATGGAAGTATGTACTGTGTTCATGGACTGGAAGAATTAACATCATCAAAATGTCCATGCTATCCAAGGCAATTTATAGATTCAGTGCAATGCCTATTAACATACCAATGGCATATTTCACAGATATACAGCAAACATTTCAAAAATTTATATGGAACCATAAATGACCCTGAAGAGCCCCAGCAATTTTGAGAAAGAAGAACAAAGTAGGAGGGATCTCAATATCTGACATCAAACTATATTACAAGGCTACAGTAATCAAAACAGTCTGGTACTGGCATAAGAACAGACAATAAATCAATGGAACATAATAGAGAACCCAGAAATAAATCCATGTATCTATGGTCAATTAATAGTTGACAAAGGGGGCAGCAGCATAAAAGGAGTAAAAACTAAAAATAGCATCTTCAACAAATTGTGTTGGGAGATCTCAACAGCTACCTGCAAAAAAATTAAACTTGCCCACCAACTTACACCATACACAAAAATAAACTCAAGATGGACAGAAGACTTAAATATGAATTGTGACACCACAAAAGTCCTAGAGGAGAACATAGGCAGGAAACTCTCAGATATTCCATGCAGCAATATTTTCAATGCTATGTCCCTTAGAGCAAGGTACATAAAGGGAAAAATACAAGTGGGACTTTATCATAATAAGAAGCTTCTGCACAGCTAAAGAAAACATCAGCAAATTGAAAAAGGAACCAACAATATGGACAAATATATTTTCCAATGATACCTTGGACAAGGGTTTGATCTCCAAAATATATAAAAAAACATGGCTTCACTGCAGGAAGACAAGCAATCTAACTAGAAAAATGGGCAAAAAACCTGAATAGACAATTCTCCAAGGAGGAAATACAGAGGGCCCGTAGACATATGAAAGGATGCTCAGCATCATTAGCAATCAGAGAGATGCAAATTAAAACCACAGTGATATTCCACTTCACACCAGTCAGAATGGCCATCATAATCAAATCAGTGAACATCTAGTACCGGCTATGTTGTGGGTAAAAGGGAACCCTAGTACATTGTTGGTGGGAATGCAGAGTGGTTCAGCCATTGTAAAAAACATTTTAGAATTTTCTCAAAACACTAAAAATGGAACTGCCTTATGACCTGGCAATTCCACTGCTGGGATTATTCCCTAAGAATCCTGAAACACCAGTTCAAGAGAACCTATTCACTCCAATGTTCATAGCAGCACAATTTACCATAGCCACATTCTGGAAGCAACCTAAGAGCCCCTCAGTAATTGAGAGGATCAAAAAGCTATGGTACATTTACACAAAGGAATACTCCACAGAAGAAAGAAAAAAAAAGAACTCCTACCCTTCATGACAGCATGGATGGAACTGGAGAGCATTATGCTAAGTGAAATAAGCCAGGGGGTGAAAGACAAATACCATATGATCTCAACTATAAGTGGAACCTAATCAATAAAACAAACAAGCAAGAAAAATATAACCAGGGATATTGAAATAAAGAACAAACTGACAGTAACCAGAAGGGAGGGAGGAGGAGGATAAAGGGGGAAAGAAAGAGAAGGGTCAAATCTCGGAACATGTATAAAAGATCCATGGGCAAAGCCAAAAGGGAGAAGGATTGAGGGTGGGAGGTGGGGGTGGGTGTGGCAGGTGAAAGTGGTGGTGGGAAAATGGAGGCAACTGTACTTGAACAACAATAAAAATAAAATAATCATCATATTAGATAGTTATATGATTGAAGAAACACCACTTCTTAGAAACCTCTCTCTTTTTACTCTCCATTAGATTTGTATAATATCTAATCTAGTGCTTGACACATAGTATGCTCTCAGTAGATACTCTTTGAACAAATAAAATGATATAAAACAAAATGTAAAGCTATTATTTTTGAAGGAATCACATTTTCTTCCAGTGACAACTTTCTTCACACCCTAGGCAGGTGTTCAGATTACTGATGGTGGAAAATTCCATGTCAGTACTTGTGGCATGTTAACCATCTATGATGCCAGGCAAGCTGACGGAGAAAGATATGAGTGTGTGTCTCAGAATTCACTGGCCTTGTTGTGGTCAACATGTTTTTCACAGTCGTTGGTAAGTATTTGTAGCTCCTCCTACAATATTCAATTAAAGCGTTTAAACAACTTACAATTTTATACCTGGTTTATCTCACTACTCAAGTTCCCTATTCATTATTTTTAATTTAATATGTTAATATTAAATCAGAGTTATTTTAATGTTTTTAAAAATGTAAGATCTTATTTAAATTTATCAAAGACCAAAAACTACATTGCCAAAAGGGAACAAAAATAACAATAATTTTCAAATGTATGTCATGTTTTCTAAGGAATTGAAAATTATAAAATGTAAGATCTATTCTCAGCCAAGTAAATGTGAATAAAATAAATTTGCCATATATTAGTCACTCAGGCCTCATTTATTTAATTCTGTGTTAAAAGTAAAAATCAATCAATCATATTTGTAGGTAAGATTTGCCCCTATGAGGACAAATATCTTAATATTTGAAAGCATTTACATTTGGCCAAAAATAGCAATTTTTTACATTTTATTATCAGTTTGGTAATATAGCTATAGCCCTCTTTTAGTTGATTATCAGTAATGACTGTTTCCAAAATTTGATTTTCATAGTTTTATAAAAAATAAAGTCCTGCCTTTAAATTAATCAGTTCATATTAGAGATAAGAGAGTTAATTTGTAGGCAGACTCGAATAGACTGAACTCAACCTTGGCTGTGGTTATAAAAATGGAAACAGGCTGTTAGGATTGACTGATACATTCTCCACATGGGGAAAGCATTCAGAGAAAAATGCAGCATATCGGCACATGTAAATTGATATCAGATTTGCTTTTTTGCAGATTGTTTTAGGAGTTTTTGCTTTTTGACAATCAGAAATGGAAATAAATGACTTCAGCTACAAGCATATGGAATGCTGTGTTGGGTTTTGTCTGTTTTTTGGTTTCCTTAGAAATGGGCAGATTTTATAAATAGGGTTTTGCTGATTTATTTTTCCCTTTTAGTTTTTCCAGCTTTATGGGTCTATTGGGTCTGTTAAAGGCATTGAGTACTTTTTTCATTATGAATACAGACTTGGTTAAAAATAGGTTTACTTAAATTACATTTATAAAGAAATTATTATTTCCTATCTTATAGTACAATAACTTCATATTCCTCCACTCCCAAATTCTTTTGAGATAAAAAAAACTTCTGAAATTCCATTTGTTTGGGTATTTTATATAAAGTGTATATTTTCATCGATAGCACAATAATAAATACATCAAATTTCATGTATTTATTATATTGCATAGCGAAAACTAAAGCTCTCTAGTTTACTATTCTTAAAAGTGTAACAGTGTAGCTAGTAACCAGCAAGTATTTATTGTAGTAGGGATTGAAATTTTTTATTATATAGAGTTTCTTAATACTTGTGTAACTAAATTTTAGTCTTAATGAACTATTCGTTATAATTTCATGTTTTTCCTGATTTGACATCATGAGAGTTTTGTTTTTTTTTTTTGTTTTTGTTTCTTAAAATTTATGGAGCTCCCTTTCTTCTTTTCATCTATTCATGAAACATAGAAAAATATCCTAAAGGTATTTGGAAAAAGTTATTTCAAAAATTAAACACACATAAATTGTTATAGAGGTGCTAGAAATCTTTACCTCTAAACAAACATTCGCTCTCTGCTTCCTTTTCTCTCTCTGTCTCTGTCTCTGTTTTGCTCTGCTACATACACTATAATCACAGTGGCCAAAAATTTTAGAACCTCTGGTAAGATTTCATTGTGGTTGACCGAAATTTAAGCAACTATCTTATATGTACACATTAAAATAAAACATTGTGATAAAAATGTATTAACTACTCTAGCAGGTTTTAAAATAGTGCTATATAGCATTTATTAATATTCAGATCTTTTGTCTACAATAGAAAACAGAAAATTAGGCTGCGGTGATAAAATACAAAAAAAAAAAGTTATTCAATCAAGAAAATTTATGAGTTGGCCAAAAAGTCCTTTTAGTTTGTTCCATAAAATAAAAGACATATTTCTCATTTTCACCAGTAACTTTCTTAATTTGGATATTTTGAGTATGCTGGCTGTCTCCCACATGGCATATATTAATTGTTCTCAATTAATGTCTCAATTTGATTGCTATCAACTTCAACTGGTCTATCCAACCATGAAGCATTGTCCAGAAAGAAACCTCCAGCAAGAAACCTTCACGAACCACTTTTGACATGTTCTCTCAATCACAGCATCTTCTCTATACACTGCACAAATCTTTTTTGTGTGTGTGTTTCAGCTGCATTTTTTTACCTTTCTTGAAATAATAAAGCATAATATGTCAAAAATGTTGCCTGTTTTCTTCCATCTTCAATATTTAAATGGTTACCCAAAAATTCACCAATTTTGATAAGGTATCTTTAAATGCATGCTGATATGATAGCTGTCACAATACAAAATTGTTTCAAATGAAGTTAAAAACAACTAAGAGTAACTAGAGCCATCTTATGAAAAAACAAATGAATTTTTTTTAGCCAACCAAATATTATTTTTTTCCTCTGAGGATATTTATATATCAATACAAGGGGCACTTACTTTATATATGCATCTCATATCAAATGAATATCATGATATTAAAAATATTTTTATAAAGGAAGGAAAATATATGGATATAAATGCAAAAGTACTGAATAAATGCAAGATTTAAGACAAGTAGTGTGTGTGTTTACACAACCCAAATTATCACAATAGGGAAAATATGTCAGTATAAAATATTATTTATAAAACATTTTATGACTTAGACCATTAGATTTACTAGGTCACCTTGATTAAAGAAAGGAAAAAGTCCATGCATTATAGGAAGATTTTCCTCCTATTGCTGCTCCCACTTAGCAATTACAGAATGTTGTAAGTCCATTTATCATGTAATGTGATGTGATGATACCCAGTACGTTGTTTGTCTATGACTTTTAACTTTTTGTATTTATGTCCTTCCTTAAGTGAAAATTGTTAATTTTATATAATCAAATCAATCAATTCATCTTTTTTCTTTCAGTTATTTTTAGCTAATGTATGATCAAGCCAATGTGTTTTTTGTACTATAAAAGATAACACTAAATTCACATTGTAGCCTCCACCTCATAACTACTGCACATAATCCAGTTTACTAAGAAAGTCTTTCAGCAGAATCATTGATTTTACTTTTTTCTTACAATAGTCACACTAGTGGTACTTATTTTCTTGGAATTTTTATGTTAATGCTCTTCACAGAACCATGAAAAATGCGAGTATGTATATATTATCATAATTTTCTTAAAATGGCCAGATGTGAAATGATATTTAGACCTATCTATTATAAAACATAAAACATATATTCACTCACATATATACATACATAACATTTTAATAAGATATTATATTATGTAGCACCATATATAATGTGTCTTAATTTATAATTAATAAAGTAAAACTTTTTTAGTTTTTGTTTTTCATCTCTTTTATTTCTCTTTAATCATATTCTCAAACTCAATTTTTGAAGCTATACTTTCTCTTGTTTTCAATATTTATCATTCTAAAAATTATTTTTTTGTCACATAAACTTATTGTACATTTAAGCCTCAAAATTTAACTAAATAATATGGATATGTCTGATTTTTTTCATTACATGAATTTTAAATATTTGTTCATGATTATTTTTATTTAGCATTTTATTTCTTTTGAGGCTAAACTTCTTAAATCATCATCTGGAGAGGATTAAATATGTTGAAGATTACCAACTCTACTTAAATGAAAAGCTTCTTTTGGTTACAATATTCAACTTGACACAATTTTCACACATTGGAAAACTATGGAATTAGCATGAATTATTTTTCACTGAAATCTTACTGAGAGTTCAATTCTTGCTTTAAGAAATCTCCATAGAGATATGATATTTAATTTTGTTTTAATGTTTAACATTAAAGCAAGATGGCTGAAAAGATAGGCATCTCTATCTTCTCCAAGTTGACAAATTGCTAACATACTTGAATCCCATTTGAATTAGTGTTGTAAAAATGGAAATATTTCACATAGTTTTACTAGATTTTACAATGCTCTAATTCCCTAAATAGTGTTGTTATTGTTGATTGATGCTTTACTTCAGGACAATTACCCACCTCTCTGCAATGAAGAGTATCAAGGGTGCACTGTATAACATTTTATCATCTGAGAAATTTTTGTAATGCCATTTATATCACATCATTCTTATCTTCAAAGTCTGTTTGATGTTTCAATCATTGAAATGATTTTCAAAGCAATACAGGGTAGAAAAGTTAGAGATGACTGTGGAATTATCCATTTTTGGTACTATACAAGGGATTGATGTTGCAATTAAATCTGCATGAAGACATTTGTTTTCAAAGAAAGAATTTATATTATTTTGATTAAAAAATTGTTTTCACTTCAGTTCTATTTAGTTTTTATAATCTCCATAAATCACAAGAGGGATAGTGCATAAGATGGTTAAAGATTGTATTCTTCAGCCTGTATACATGCACCCACTTCTGAACTACTCATCAATGTCAGTTCAGCCTCATAGGGAAGGAAACTTGTCATAGAATCAAAATGGCATTAATTTATGTCATGGGTTCACTCTATATGGCCCATGGTAGGTTATCAGGCATTGGACCCAGTTATGCCAGCATAACCAGTGTCAGACACAGTCAGTAATCCAGCCAATCGGTGAATTAAGAATGATTGTCGAGTTCAATGCACCTGGCCATTAACTGTTAGCCCAGAGGTGAAAATTTTGCTTAGGATACATAGTACTTTGGTTTATTAAAATTTGAATCAGCATCTTTAGACTGGTGATACCTTCCAGTTGTATAAAATTCCTGACTGTCCTGATGGAGCCACCTGGGATGTTTTGTGACACCTGAATGTTTTAAAGTAAACATGATTGTTGTCTTCATAGTAATCAAATAAAGTATATCCTTAGTCTTCACAGTTGTTGGTCAAAGCAGAGCATCTTAAAATGCCATAACGAGGTATTACCCTGAACCCTGTTTACCTACAAACAATATAGCACGGTGGTTATAGATTCCTGTTCTACAGCCATACAGCTTATTTCTTTTTTACTTAAAGATTTTATTTATTTAATTTTAGAGAGAGGGAAAAGGAGGTAGAAAGAAAGGGAAAGAAACATCAATTGGTTGCCTCTCTCATACATCCCAACTGGGGACCAGGCCTGCAACCCAGGCATGTGCCCTGGCCAGGAACCCAGCCAGTGACCTTTCACTTTGTGGGACATTGTCCAAACAACTGAGCCACACCCTTCAGGGCCATACAGCTTATTTCTATTCTCATTGTAACTCCTCACTTCATTGCTATCTGGCTGACTTTGGGCAGGTGATTAAACATCATTGGACCTCTGACTTCTTGCCGTACAATTGAGATCATAATAGGATACACTTGCTTGAAAGATTAATTAATACAGATTAAGTGTCCCAATTGTCTGGAACATAGAAAGGGCTTAATTAAAGTGGGCTATTAATATCATTATCATTATTCTATTATCTAAAATTATTTTGATTTCAGACATAGATGACTAGATATGTCTCAGTTGACCAAAATCTCTAAAATTGTTTCACATTTTCAGTGACTTTAATATTTTTTAACTTAGTTCAGTTCTCCAAGTGTGTATAAATCAGTATAGTGTGCTGGTCCGTGGCCTTAAGATACAAAGATGAGTGATGCATCATCTCATCCTTAACACAATCTCTATTTAGCAGAGGAGACAACATGTCAGCAATTTAAGTACATCTTGTGAATGTAATAGGTGCATGTAATAAAAGAGAAGTAAAACAAAAGATGCCAGCTTGTCAGAGCTATCAGGAAAACTTTATAGGGAGAGTAATGCCAGAGCAGGTATTTAAAGATGAGGGGGGATTTCCAGGCAGTTATGTTTAGGGAAAGAGAAGACAGAAAGTGCCAAGGCCTACACATTGAGTGTTGTGCATTATTTCAGAGGGTTTACTGAGACGCCCTATGACTGATGCAAGGACCCTACAAGTTTACAACCCCCACCATATTTATTTCAATCATTAATTCACTTATTCACAAATTATGAAAAGAACCCACTGCTCCCCTTATATTCTGGTATTAGAGTCTAACTCTTCTCAAACATTTGGAAAATTTAGTATTCTTATGTGCATGGCAGATGTGAGATTCATGGATTCTGCAGACTTACCTTGCAAACAGTGATATGTGAGATTCATGGATTGTGCAGCTTTGCCTTGCAAACAGTAATATCTTTTGTCATTTACAGAAAACCTTACACTTCCAAAGATCTGCTGGCTCAGTTCTGCTGTCTTCATGACCCATTTACCATGGAGATAGCAAGAGCAGGGGGGATTTTTGAGTACACGTCAACTGGTCCAGGAACACGTGAAGCAGGGGCTCGCTGTTGATTTGGATGGCAGACGTCAGCCTCTGGAAGCATTCTGTTGTGCTCTCTATATCAACAATGGCTACCCTTCCACTTTAATCTCCAAAGCATGTCATTTATAAATTTAATTATTCACCACTTTTTATCAAACAAATGCCAATGTGTCTCGTAGGAACTGTAATTAAAAAGTAAGGATGATACACACACACACACACACACACACACACACATTTAAAGTTGTTAATTTTTGCCCATTAAATGCATTGAGTAAATATAGGGGAATCATTTTATGTAATCTTACTTTGGGAATCCAAAAACTATTAGCACTTCTCATAGAAAACTTTTTATTACCGGGAAAATATTTCTCTACTTATCATTGTAACCACCTAAGTCATGCAGTGATTCTACCTGACTCCTTCCACCACCTATAATATATGCATCCCTCCCTCGTCTCTCTCTCTCTCTCTTTTTCTTTGTTATACTGAAGTTTTCATGTTTTTCTTATTGACCCCAGACATTTATTTAATATATGTCAAATAAAAATGCTATAGAAAGCTTTCAGATTTTCTAAGCTTTTCTCTTTAAAATGAAGTAAACAAATGTGATCCCTTGCTATACACTATTTGTGCTGTGAGTGCAACAGCAATGTCTATAGATTTACCTTTCTTTATTCCTTCAGAAAATCAACTGAGGTATGATGTAGAAGGCTATTTGTGTGGTTGGCTCACCCCTTATGTGCGCTAAACAATTATACTCCAAAGTACACTTGACAGCCCCTACTGGTCAATTATGTCTTGGGCTTTCAAGGCTTCCTTAACTAAATTATCCAAGGGAAATTTTCCTAAGATGTCCATATTAGCACTTAAATTAAACCTCCATATATTGAATATTGAATCATACCAGGTATGAGCTAATCATGGTCAGGGCTGCAGAAAACCCAGTTCTACATAATTTCTCAGGTCCAGATGAGGATTAGGCCCATGGGTCTTTCTGGACATCTTTGAGTTCAAATTTTCAGGAATAACTTACTCTTAATCCATAACTAGAAAATTTTAAGTGATCAATATCTACAGAGATATAGCTTTGCTAAAACAGGCATCTGAGATTCATGATGGTCATTACCATACTGAATATCTTTTCATCTAAACTATTTAAACTTTAACAATTTTTCCCCACCTCATTTTCCATTATTTTTAAAGTTAAAGACCCCTTTCCCCCCAGGAACAATTTGGCTTTAAAAGTGAACTCCATATCCATGTCTATGTATCTGGACATGGAAAATTATTGTATATGTTCAAGATTAAGATATCCCAAGGTCCAGCCAGGGGCAGGTTTACACAGATAAAAGACAAATGAAGCTGATACCATTAGCCACTTCCTGGTGATTAAATAGAGATAGTAAGTCTTACCCAGCAAGATTTAATGAATAATTCTTTGCAGATTTGGGATAATGCTGAAATTTCAATCTCTTCAAAGAGTGGCTTCAAGGCACCTCTGGGTTTGTGTTTCACATTCCCTGGGGAAATGACAGCTCTTGTTAGTTATTCCCCTCACACCAGGTGTCATTAGGTTAATATTCACATGATCCACACTGGCACATTCTAGAAGCATGAAACCCGAAAGAAAAAGTTCTGAAATAGAAAAAAAAAAATTCACACTTCTGTGTTGAGGACTAACAAATCCTTACAGACATTACACTGCTAAAATCACAGAGCTAAGGTATAGACAGGACTGGGAACATATTTCTTCATCCTTTTAGTTCATTCTAGCACATAGTAATTGCTCATCAGATAGACATCACCAAACAATTCCCCTAGCTTTTGGAAACTTATATAACTATGTATCCCCTTTTTTCACAATAATTTTACTTTCAGTTTTGCCCTACAGAAATGTGGTAGGATATAAGGATTTCTGCTGACTCAGAGTGACCTCTTCCCCACTGCTCTAGTTGGAGGTGATCCCCTCTCCTCTTGAGGACACCTCCCTCCATTGTTCTTACTGCTGTGAATTTCAGAATATTGTGGCAATGACTTAGTGTCCCCCTGTTACCTTTGCCTCATCTCCTGTTTATCTGAATGCACAGTCAACAGGCATGTGTCCAACTGCTCTGACATGAGGTTCTATTAGAAGAATGGAGCCCAGGATGAAACCTAGCGACCTGCAGTACCCCACGTGGGGCGCCGCTCTGGCCTCCTTTGAGCGCATTCTGAAACCAGCCTATTAGAATGGCTTCAACTTGCCTTGCTGGGTTGGCGGCCACACAATACCCAGTGGGTATTCCCTTCCCTTGCCCAGGCTGATCTCCACAGAGTTGTCGGCCACAGCAACTGTCACCCCCTATGATACACTCACATAGGGCCTTTTTTAGACCACAGTTTGGACCACATGGTGCCTGATTGAACATGTCTCACTTATCTGATGGGCAGCTGTGCAGCTCTGTGTACTAACGACACTCCTTGTTTTCCCAATGTCATTCCTTATACCGACCATTGGAGAACCCATGCACCATGTATGCTTTTTGTATGCTCCAGCCCTGTGTGTGGCAGTGGAATGCCTTCCTTGGTGATGAGCTCATATGCTTGAGAACAGATTAGCCAGCTCATGGCATATATTGATGTTTCTAATGTTTACAGGAGCTCAAAGTGAGAATCTCAAGAACTCAGAGAAACAGAGTGTTGGGGACTCCTGCAGAGAAACACTAGGAGCCTTGGGGACTCCTGAGGACAGGCTTACCTTGAGTCCCTTTGGAAAAAAAAAAAAAGCACTGTTTTTTCCTATAGGCCCACCCACCGAGTACACAAAACATGAGCAGGACAGCCACAGCCTATTTCCTGGCCTGGGACCCCAGGGCTCTCATAGCCATGCATATGTTGTGGATCCAGGAACACTACAGGGTAGCTTCCTGAACCCCCAGTGCGACTCCTTATCACAAAGCCAGGAAGATTGTGGGTGCTGAGCTATCCCTGAAGGCCACCGTCCGCTCCATAAAGTTTTCTTTTCATCTTCTAGAATAATTAAGAAAGGTTAGATAGATCTACATCTTCGGGGGCTCTCTGGGGTAGCCACTAAGTAGCAGGTGCCTTCTCAACTTCTCAGCCTGAGCAGCTGTTCTCCACAGTCCATTCTGTAGCCCTGGATTTGGCTGCCACCAACACTCAAAGGGGACAAGACCACAGGATCCCTCCATTTGTTGACATCAGAGTTTTCTCCAATGTGTATTCTGTTGAAAATTTTGCAGATCTTCAAAATGAAATAAAAATTCAGAAATTAGACAAAAAAACTGAAAAAGTAGGTATGCAGGTGTTACCTGGATTTAATACTTTCTTGGGAGAGGTAAAAGTGTTAAAGGACGTTTGCATAGGTGGAATTTGTTTTCCTCGTGATGTTATTGCAGAGCTTTTAGTAATTGTTATTGTGGGATAAGTTAAATATTAAAGAAAAAATTTCCAGAGATGAAATACCCATTTTTACCTCTTTGTCTATCCACTTCCTTTGTGTGTGTATGTGTGTTTATTTACAAAGATGTATTGCCAATACATCTCAACTAGGAGAGGTTGGCATATCTAGTGCATTTATGTCTATGGCAGTCTAAGCAAGGACATTTGATTGTTATGGGAAGGTCTAAGTTCTTATGTAAAGACTTGTAATTAACTGGCCCATCACGTGTTTTCTCAGGAAAAGCAAAGTAGTGGGATAAAAAAAAAAATATTTTTCAAAAGAAGAAATAATTATAAATTTATCTTCAGAATATAAGTCAGGGCATTTTAACTGCACCATCAATACCTGTGAGTAAAGTATCAGTATTACTTTTTCTATATATGAGATACAATTTGTTTAACTTACAAGTGTAAAATATTTTCAGAAAAGAGCTTTAACTGTTCCTTGTGCTAACAACCTCTCACCCTTAAAATATGTTTAAAAAATTAAAGAAATGTTTAATCAGTAAGTTTTTGTCTATGGTAAGCTAAGCATAAAAGACTAACATATTTACCAATAGATTAGGTATATTAATGTGAAATTATTCAGAGGTGTTTAATATTGTTCACAAATTATGGAGTTAATTGTCAATGTTATACCATTTTGGTAATATCAGGGATATTTTCTCATGCTTATGTAGAATATCAAACTGTGAAAATATATAACATTTAAAATCCAGTGTCTGGCACAAATAATGCTTCTTTTATTACAAAATCTTCTATTACAAAATTATAAGCATGTAATTCTATAACATAACAATATCACACTCAAGCATACTGTATGACATTTTAGATGAAATGTTCAAATTAAAACTATAAATTATTATGTGCATATTATTACCCTACCAACCACATTCAAGCAGGCCTTCCTTCTGCCAGAACTTGTATATCAGAGTTGCCCTGACTGGTGTGGCTGAAGGTGTTGGGCATGATCCCACAAACTGAAAGTTCACCTGTTTGATTCTTAGGGAACATGCCTGGGCTGCAGACCAGGTCCCCAGCTGTGGGTGTGTGAAAGGCAATTGACTGATACTTCCTTTTCTATTGGGGCACATTCTGTTTTAAGATTGTTTTTGATGCATATCTGATAGTCTTGCCTAATCCTCTGCTTAGTCCTTTGCAAATGAGGGCCCCTCCTGCTTCCTGCCCTAGGCCTTCTCCCAGCAGTTTGGAGCCAGGCTATCAGCAACAGAAAGGCAAGGGGAGGAAATAAAAAGGTGATAGGGGACAGCTTTTAAAGGCCTTATATGTCATGCAAATGAAATTGATCTTCACGCTGTGTTTAATTCTAGAGCAGGAGAGTGACATGAAGAAATACTTTTCCTTAAATGATAGGTGGCAGCAATTTGGTAAATATACTGGAAGGAGGAGAGGCTAGCAATAAGAAATTCTACAGTTGCTGCAGTAGTCTAGGTGAAGCAAGAGGATAGCTTAGATAACTTGTGGCAGCATATGCAATGCTATCAGTGTTCCAAATGTTCCGTGGGAGGACTTTATCTCCATTGAATAAAGCTGGGGTTAACTTTTGCTTTGTAATCCATTTGAGTCTCATTTCTCAATTCACAGCTAACTTGTATATTCACTACAAATCACAGAGTACCAGAAATACTTTCTCTTAAGAAATTTCCTATCACAAGTCCCCCTAAATCTTACAGTTCTAATGTGTGTCTATCACAGGTGGGCACAGGTAACCAGATTCTTGGTGACTGTGTACAAAAAATTGAACCAAACACACAGAGTTTATAGCACAAAGTGAGGAAAAGCAGATTTATTAAGTCACACAGAACACGGGAGAGACCAACTCTGAGCTGAGCTGAGCTGAGCAGAGAAGAGCAGAGTTTAGCAGCAGCAGCAGCAGTCCCAAACTCAGGCGCTAGAGGGCTTTTATTTCTCTAGGGTGGGTCTCCCACAATGCTAATTTATTATAATGTTATTATAATGAAGCAGGGGTCAGGTAGCATCTTCTGCACAGGTGCATTCCTGATTCATTAGAATTCAATGCTTTTCCAGATGCACAAACTACCAGTCTTAGAACAGGGTCTCCGCCCTTTATCCATGTTCTTTATCTTAGCCCTGGGGCACCTCTGGAGTTTCCTGCTTCCAGACTATCTCCTGCCTCACGTCTACTTGTTGCCTCAAGCAAGATTGGGCTGGATTATAGGTATGACTCTTCCACTATGAGACAGGTGGCGCTTAATAAATGTGACTGGCTTTTAAGATGGACAGTGGCCATGTAACGGGGCACAGCCAGGGCCCCCGCAAAGGGTATTTGTAACAGGGTCCAGAAAATGGGGTGTCCAAGAAAAAATATATTCTCCCCATCCCAGGGTGGGCCCCCCCATGGGGGATGGGAGCCTTGAGCAGGGGCATTGAGAGTCATTTTGCATGTCAATAACAGGAGAGCTTCATTCCCCATATGCAAAGAGCGTTATTTTGCACATCACGCCAGCTAATCAGTAAGGTTTAAAAGACTTAATACAGAATGTAACTGAGAGAGAGAAGGAGGAGAGACTGGGCCTGCAGGAGAGATAAAGAGACACAGACTCTGGGGAACAGTGAGAAGATCACGTGGGAAGAAAGAAAGGAGAAAGGACTCTTGCTAGTGGGCCATGAGAAGGTGCCACATGGTCTTGGAGTAAGAGCTGGAGATTGTGGCGATGCAGCGGATGGTGCTGAGACCCGTGAGAGGCCTGCCCAGCCGAACCCCGGACTTCTGTTCTTTTTCTTCTGAAGGACGGTGCCCCTGACTGGCCTGACTGGCCTAACTGGGCAAAACGGGTAAGGCAGGGCTGTGTGTGTGCTGGTGATTGTTTTAAGGGGATTTTGAGATTTAAGAGAGATATTTAGCCATTAATTAAACCTATATAACTTTTGAATAAATAGTTCCTTTCCTTTTCACCAAACTCTGTCATTCAGAGCCATAATTCCAAGGGCGGCAGGCAAAGGACCCACAACCAAGGGACGTTGGGGAAGCGCGGGGTCGTTGTTTCAGTTATTGCATCTGGGCACCCCCTTTCCCCCACGGGTCCATTTGTTTGGTAACTGCCAAGACCCTGCATGTTGAATGTTCACACCTCCGGCTTTCTCTTTGTTCCTTTAATTCATTTGGAACCTCAGCACAGAGCCTTCTGAAACTGAAACATGGAGTCGTTATCTTTGCTTCAGTGAATATTTAAACTGAAGGAACTTCTTGCAGCCTGATCCAAGGCCTCTACTTGAGGACAACAGGACTGACCTGCTGTAGGTAGGTTCAGGGAGGCAGGAAGGCCAAGCTAAATTCTTCTACGGCTACCTCTTTTTATTTGTTTTGGGGGGAGGGGAGTTCATCCATTGTCTGAGCTTTGTTTTTTTATTTAAAATTTTTTATTTTTAAATCATGTTTATTCTGTTACCGTTGTCTCAATTATCCCCCCCCCCTTTGCCCTCCTCCACCCGTGCCATCCCGCCCCCCTTCTACAGTCAATTCCCACTCTGTTGTCTTGTCGATGTTAATGGGTCATTCATAATATGTTCTTCGTTTAGTCCCTTCTCCTTTCCACCATTGTCCTCCTTCCACTTTTCCCCCTGGTCAGTTTCAGTCTGCTCCATGTTTCTTTGCCTGTGGTTTATTTTGTTCATTAGTTTATTTTGTGGAATAGATTCCACTTATAGGTAAGATTGTAATGGGGCACAGCCAGAGCGACCCCAAAAGGGTATTTGTAACAGTGTCCAGAAATTGGGTTTTCAAGAAAAATAGAAGACATTCTCCCAGCCCCAAGACAGGCTTCCATGGCGGATGGGAGACCTACAGTAGGGCCATTGAGAGTCAAATTTGCATGTCAACAACAACTGGATAGCTTCCTTCCTCATATGCAAAGGTAGTTATTTTGCATTTCAACAAAGCTAACCAGGAAGGTTTGAAAGACTTAATACAGAATGTAACTGGGAGAAGGAGGCGAGACTAAGGGACACAGACTCTGTGGAACAATGGAAAGGCCACACGGGATAAAAGGGGAGAAAAGACTTTTGCTACTGGGACATGAAAATGTGCCAGCCTCATGGGTTTGGATTAAGGACTGGAGATCATGGCGATGCAGCAGATGGTGCTGAGAACCGCTAGAGGCCTGCCTAGCCAAGCCCTGGACTTCTGTTCTTTTTCTTCAGAAGGATGGTACCCCTGACTGGCCTAGTTGGGCAAAGAGGGGAAGGCATGACTGTGTGTTGGTGTGTGTTTTAAATGGTGGCTGTTCTGAAGGGATTTTGAGATTTAAGAGCGACATTTAGCCATTAATCAAACCTGCATAACTTTTGAATAAATAGTTCCTTTCCTTTTCACCACCATTGAAAGCCATAATTTCAAGGGTAGCAGGCAAAGGATCTACAACCCGGGTACCCCAGGAAAAGGAGGGGGAGCGTTGTTTTGGTAATTGCATCTAGGCACCACCTCTCCATGGGTCTGTTGTTCTGTAACAAGATCATACAGTATTTGTATTTCACCCACTGGCTTATTTAATTTAGCATAATATTCTCCAGTTCCATCCATGTTGTTGCAAAAGGTAGGAGTTCCTTTTTACTTTCTCTTAAGGGCAGATTAATTTTATTTATTTTTTTAAATGTCAAATCCATTATAAAATATTTTTTAAAAAATCCGTTATAAAGTCTCACCAGTTAAAACAACATGACACCAGCACAGAAAAATCATGTAGATCAGTGAAATATAATGAGCATTCTAGAAACAAACATATATCTGTCTAACAATGTAAATTATGATTAAATTGATATTTCAAATCAATGGGGGAAAATAAGGCTTATTCAACAAATAAGATGCATTGACCACTATCACTTGAAATAAGACAAATATAGAGGCTTATTACAAACACTATAAAAAAAATACAGGTGAGTTAAGAATCCATATGAAAAATCTAAGGAGTTTTAGGAAAAAATACAGAATAATAAGTAACATATTCA